GTATAACTGTTAATTGAATTCCACTGACAGACCAGGATGTGATGTTCTACAGAGAGAAATCAACACAGCTGACAAGCTCAGTCTGTGCTTTTGCCTTTAAACACCTGAACCTTCTCAGTAGGGAGCATCTTCAAACTTCCTGCTGCATGCAGCAGCCTCAGTAGATGGGCCTGTGCCAGGTTTTGCTAGCCTGACTTATCCCCGTGGGCCAAATAAGGGGTTTTAGTGCAATTGTGTCTCTAACCAGGGGGTGTTTAAACAGCTGGCTAGCGTGACGGCTCATCTCTTATGCTGACAGGGGTTTGGTGCTGAAAAGATCCAGGGTCCCCCTCATTTAGAGCTGTAAACTGGCCCTTGTTATAGCACGTGAGGTACCTGTGGGGTGTACACCCTCTTTGGCTTAGCACTGGCCAACTGCCGGACCCCTCAATTCACATGATTCCCATTTTGGTCCCATGCAAAACACCATAGGGGAATTCTGCCCAATTACTCCAAAGGGTGTCTGTTTCCTATCTCCAGTCCTGGTGGAGCCCTCTGCCTGCTGGTTTTCATTCCAGCCGAACGCTATAATTTTCAGAGCTAACTGCTGACTTTAATTAATCTGATCGCATTTTTTATCTTTTGTTTGACTTCTTTCTGCACTGAGTGTATTCAGCAATACCTGACTTCGAGGGTGCTGTTGCCAGCACCTTTTGCATGCAGAAGTCCATGCACTCTCTCATTATTAGGAGTTGTCTGCTGTCCGCACAGTTAATTAAAGGCAATCAATTCATGGCGAAAAGCCGAAAAACATTGTATCCCATTGCAGAGCTCCAGCTGGTTACATTTCAGGCAGTTCAGTAACTGGTACAGGGACGATTCAAATTTTCAAGAGTCAAAATCAAGTTTTGAAATTTTAAGATTTAAGATTTTAAGCACCAAAACCAAAACCAAAAACTGAAACTTATTATCCTGTCCTGACCTGTGTCAAACCACATAATCTATTCTTATATATTACGCACATAAACAAAGAACTCACATAAAAAAGACATAATTACTGCTTCAGACTAATAGCAATGACACAGACATCCAGGCAGTGTCTTCTGGGAATACGATTTTACAAATCATATTTGAGGGTTTTTTTCTTAGTAATTTGTCATGTTTATATATCTTCTGTGTAGTTAAGATTTTCCTGTTAACTGTAATCATTTTGCTTACATCTTTTCCAGTATGTGAAGTTTTTACATTTTTCTTCGTACTACAGTATTAATCATATTCCCTGAGCTGTTTTTTTTAAAGATTGCTCAGTCTGGATAAAGGCATCTGCCAAATACATTAAGAACAGCAATAATATTCTTAAAATATGTGTTCAGCTTTAAAACCTCCCATTTCAGGGGTGCGTAATTGCATCCTGCTTTTTAGCTTTTCTAAATGACTCCTAAAGCACAGCTGGATTGTAAAACTGGTTCTGTTGATCACAGTCTAAATAAATTTCATTTTAGTGTTTATTTGCTTAGCAAACACCCTTATCCTGGATGACTTAAGTTAAGAACAATTTAAATACAATATAGAAAAATACAGTAATATCATACACTGGTACAATATTACTGAAGTTAATATTACATTTAATAACACATTTAATATTGTCAAGCTATGATATACGTATTGTTAAGCTATTAATGAATATTAATATCATTCTTAACAACATATTAATTACAAAAGAGATGCAGAAAAATCTGGAGGTTCTGGCCTCACTGCTCTTCGCCAGCCTGTGGCACAAATCACAACAGACAACGACACCCACTTCATTAGTAACCCTAGCAACAAATTAGTAATTTCACATGATTGATACACACTCATAGGATTGAAATTAAATTATCAAGCCCTGTTTTCATGTGGTCTTTAAGACGGGAATACTATAGGGCACCATGCCAATAACTAGACATAATTCTGCCAAGCTGGACTTATAATGAACACTGCTCAGATTTTGTCAACTTTGAGTGTTAAGATGAAATGTACAATCATCAGCTTAATCAATAGAAAAATGAATGTTTTGTTATCCCCATAAACATTGCAAACTCCGACATTACTGGTGTCGCCCAGACATTATTCCAGCCCAATGCCCTGTGGTTTTGTATAACCAGATCTCTTCAAGAGAACATGCTTCCTCTCTTCCAGTTCATGAGGATCTGTGCAGGGCTCAGTTTTCATCAGACAGCTGTTCCGGAAAGACCAGCCAACTTTGCCAGGGATGGGCTCCAGGGTGCTGTTACCCCCAGTAGAATAATCTCTCTTTAAACTCAGATTACATCTCATTCGTTTTAACAGTCCCTCTCTGTGCATCTCTCTCCCTCTCCATCTTCCTGCCTGTCCCTTTTCTCTCAGTGCAAGGGGAACAAAACTCACTACCTGAACTCACGCACCGTGTCGAAAGCATCACAGGATACATGGCTGTCCTTCGACGTAACGGAGACTGTCCGGGAGTGGCTGGCACTGTCTGGTCAGTCTCTGTAACAATAAGTTCTACTGTTGTACAGTAGAGCTGTGTGCTAGCAGTGCTGTGTGTTGTGTAGCGATACAATTGTGTATTTATATTAATCTGTGCTGTGTAGCGGTGATATTGTATATTATGTAATAACGCTGTTGTTTTCTTGTTGGTATATATTGTCTTGAAGCTGCTGGGCGTCCATGTTTTGTAACAGTGTGTGCAGTAATGCTGATGTATGTATAGTAATATGGTTGTGTGTTCTGTAGTAGTATTGGTTTGCTGTGTAGTAACATAGTTGTGTGTGGTCTGTTGTGTAGAAGAGGAGCAGAAATTGGAGCTGACACTGTTCTGCGGGTGTAACACTGACAATCCAGAGTTCCAGTTCTCTATCTTAGGTAAGAACGACCATCTATTACAGCAATTCTTTCCAATTCCTCTGCACCTTCTCCCGTTCTCCTCTCCTTCCCTCTCCTGTATCATTTCTGCTCAGACTGTCTCCCACAGATTTTCTGATGTCTCACTGACGTCTTTTTCTGTCTGTCTCTCCCTGCTCAGTTTCCCACTCACACTGTTATGCTTAAAATATATAGTGTGCATCACGGCATTTAAATGTTTACTATATATACAGCATTTAAATTATACGGTGCAGAATTATACGTTTTTACGACATTTGTTGTAACATTGTCTTCCGTTGTTGTCTTTCTCTGCCTGTGGGTCTTACTGTTTGTTGTGTGTGCTTTTGCGTATCTGTATGTATTTGCGTGTGTGATAGGATTCGATAAGACCAGAGGGGATATGAAGATCATTTCAAAGCAAACCTCCAAATCCCCCCATATCCTGGTGATGTCCCTCCCCCCTGACGTCTCTGGCCAGCTTCGTTCCTCTCGCCGCAAGCGGGCTGCCCCCGATGAAATCTGCTCAGAGTGAGTCACACCGCGGCTCGTCCTCTTGGTCAGCTTTCAGTTCTGCACTGGGGCACAACATGTTGCTCAGTACACATATAGGACAGGCACGGCGAGAGGCTGCGTGGAGGACAACTACAGCGTGTTTCTGACTCACTGGCAAGACACTGCTGCGACAACTCCCTCTCTCTACTCTCTCTCTCTGTTCCTCGATACGTCTCTCCTCTCTGTTAGAAAGATCGACAGTTTTCCCTCCTGGCACTGCAGCAGGAAACCTCCTGTTCTGTCTGCCAGTCTCGAGGCTCACTGCTCTGCGATTCCTCTGCATTTCTCACAGTGGGCGCCCATCTCAGTCTCCCTGGCACTGGGTCTCCCTGTTCTCTAATAGCTGGGTACGCAGTCAGATATGCGGCGCTGTGTTAATTATGCTACGCAGGTGTCTGTGCCTCTCTCTTCCTTTCTTCTTCCTCTCCCTCCCCCTGTCCCCTCTGTTGATAATGATCCGTGTATGAGTGGTCTAATTGCTGGTTTATTCACTGACCGTGTAGGAAGATGGAAAACTGCTGTGTGCGCCCGCTGTACATTGATTTCCGCCGAGACTTGGGCTGGAAGTGGATCCATGAGCCCAAAGGCTACTATGCCAACTACTGCATGGGCTCCTGCACCTACATCTGGAATGCAGACAACAAGTACTCCCAGGTACGCAACTGCACATCACTGCATAGCACTTCACAACATGCCTACAACTGGAATAGACATGGCAGATATTTCCCAGCTATAAAGCTGTAATGCAAATAAATATTTACAGGTACATAATTAACATTTTCCACTGTAGGTTTAGGGTTACGATCAGGAATCTGTTTATGTTAAGGTTAGAACTAGTATTGGAAGCAGTGTGCATATATGCTGTGTGTGAACAGTGTGCGTGCAGAATGTCAGTTTGTCTGTGTGCTTGTACAGTGTATGAAAGTACTGTCTGTGTGTATCAGTATATGTACATATGTACAGTATATGTTTCTAAGTTCAAGTTGTGTCAGTTTGTACATGTATGGTGTGAATTAGTATAATCCATGTACAGTACATGTCAGTGTGTGTTAGTAAAGTCTGTGTGGTCTATGTGTGCAGTGTGTGTTAATACAGGTTACTGTATGTATGTACAGTGTTTGTTAGTACAGTCTATGCGTGTAAGTGTGTGCTAGTAAAGTCTGTGTGCATAGTGTGTGTTAGTACAGTCTATGTGTGTATGTGATCGTAAAGTCTAAGTGTGTGTTAGTACAGTCTATGTGCATGTACAGTGTGTATTAGGACAGTTTATGTGTGTAAGTGTGTGCTAGTAAAGTCTGTGTGTGTGTACAGTGTTTGTTAGTACAGTCTGTGTGTGTATAGTGTGTGTTGGTACAGTTTGTATATGTTAATATAATCTAGGTACTGTGTTTGAAAACTGTATGTCAGTACAGACTGTGTAATGTGTGTTGATAAAGTGTGTATGTGTGTGTTAGCACAGTATAATATACCGTATGTGTAGTATAGTGTATAGTGTGTGTACAGTTTATGCTCATTATGACTCCAGCTTGGTGTGTCTGGTGATTTCCAGTGTATGTTTGTATGACATTGTGGGGAATTCCCCACTGAAATCAGAGGAAAATAGACACACTCACTAATAACCCTGTGTTAATAGTATTAACCCCCTCTTTCAAATTTAAAATCCACAGCCTGTACTTGCCGGGCTAACTTTAGTAGTAGTGCCAAAACATTTCCGTAATACATTAAGCAATATGTCACATATAAACATTCTAAATACTCTCACTCTTGACGCACTGTACAGCCAAACATTCCTCTCTTAATGCACAGTACAGTCTACCCCCTTTTCTCTTAATGCACAGTACAGTCTAACCCCCCTCTTTTAATGCACAGTACAGTCTAACCCCCCTCTCTTAATGCACAGTACAGTCTACCCCCTCTCTTAATGCACAGTACAGTCTAACCCCCCTCTCTTAATGCACAGTACAGTCTACCCCCTTCTCTGTTAATGTACGGTACAGTCTAACCTTCCTCTCTTAATGCACAGTACAGTCTAACCTTCCTCTCTTAATGCACCGTACAGTCTACCCCTCTCTCTGAATGCACAGTACAGTCTACCCCCTCTCTTAATGCAAAGTACAGTCTACCCACCTCTCTTAATGCACAGTAAAGTCTACCCCCCTCTCTTAATGCACAGTACAGTCTACCCCCTTTTCTCTTAATGCACAGTACAGTCTACCCCCCTCTCTTAATGCACAGTACAGTCTACCCCCTCTCTTAATGCACAGTACAGTCTACCCCCTTCTCTGTTAATGTACGGTACAGTCTAACCTTCCTCTCTTAATGCACAGTACAGTTTAGCCCCCTCTCTTTTGATGCACATTACAGTTTACCCCCCCCCCACATGCACACTGCAATCTATTCCTTCCCTCCCAGTACACACTACTGTCTAACCCCTCCCTTTCTCTCCCTGGAAGATCCTGGCCCTCTATAAACACCACAATCCTGGAGCGTCTGCCCAGCCCTGCTGTGTACCCCAGGTGCTGGAGCCTCTGCCCATCCTCTACTACGTGGGCCGGCAGCACAAGGTGGAGCAGCTTTCCAACATGATCGTCAAGACCTGCAAGTGCAGCTAGAAGTAGGGTCCTCGAACCCGAGTCTTCGGCCCCGGCCCTCACCCTCACCCTCTCCAAGTCGTGGCATGGCATGTCAGCTGTTCTCTCCCTCCCCTACACAAACATCAAGACCAGCTTGTTGACCTGACAGTGAAGCTTAACCTGGGCCCTGACATCTTCTGTCTCATTCCCATGGCACTCATCTCCTCCTTTCTGCAACTTTCTCGCCATCCGTCCTGCGCTTGCAAGCTGGTACTGGGGGAGAGCGACAGTGACCAGATCAGGGAGAAGAGGAGGCATCCCCACTGCGAAGAGAGGGAGGGAGTGAGGCCTGGGGATGAGATGAATGGGGGAATCCAGTGCTGCTCTCTGGTGCATCAAAGTTCCTGTGTCCCCTCCATCCAAAAACGCTAGAGGAAGAAAAATCTGGGCAACACAGGGAAATTCCAGAATTTAAGTTTTTTTGGGGGGGTAGGGGTTTGAAAATGGTATCAGAAGTTCTGCAGACATTGAAAAATAATTTATTGCTGTTTTGTAGAATGTAGAGTGCTTTCTTCAGTGCCTTGTGTAATTTAGGAAATGGACACTGCAGAGCACTGGACTGGAGCGGAATGGATTCCGCTAAATTACACTGGACTAGACTTGACCGGGCTAATATACACTGGACTGGACTAAAGCTGACTGAACTGGGCTTAAATACACTGGACTGGACAGAACTGGGTTTAATACACTGGACGTGACTGAACTACGTTTTTATGAAATACACTGGACTGGACTCTCCTGGGTTAGATTGGACGTGACTGATTAGGCTGGACTGAGTGGGACTACTTAATTGGAATGAACCTGTTCAGATTGGACAGAACTGGGCTCGTGTAAAATGGAATGGGCTGAATTAAGGAGTCTATTCTCAGGCCTAGTTTATTTCAAACTGAAAGCAGAACTGTACTTTGATCTCAACAGAGAAAATCCACACCAAGTGATCAATTAGAAGGACTGATCCAGCACTTACCAAAGCGCCAACTGCCAGGCATTACTATAAAAACTGTTTTGTGTGAAGGACAATCTGATATTGCCATTTCTAAAGACACTGGTTGAGATGGGGGTTCCTTGTCGAGATCTGCGAATAATCTGAGAGGATGACATTTTGAGCCTGAAGAAGAACTGAGGCCTTTGGGAGATTAAGGAGACTGTTATGATTCAGGTCCATTAGCCCCTTTGTCTAGGTCTTTCTACATAGTCTTCTGTCCCGAACAGAAGAGATTACAGAGCTGACAGACTCAACCCGGTGGACACCTTCATGATCAACAAGGAAACAAAGATCTGAGGGGACAAGTGGAAACTAAAAGGAAGTGCTTTGAAGACCTGCAACAGGAAGCACATCTTTACAAAAAAATTGTTGGGGATCTAGAACATTTTATCCAGCCATGATAAAATGGCTGTTATTTTCCATGATTCCTTCAGGAAGCAGCTGAACAGAATCCACAAATCTGTTGGCTACTGGCAACCAAGGTTCAAATAGATTTATCTTGTTTGTGACCTTGGTGTTCTAGCATTTCTTAATTAGCAACCCAGAGCAACAGAGGTGACAGGAGAGAACGGGCACCCAGTTAATTAGAGCTCCGGGCCAGGTCATATATATTTGCTGTGCACTTCAATGCCATGCGGCAGACAGATGAGCCATCCGTCACCAAGATCAGGGAAATTGCCCGGCTCACCTACAGTAGTATCACCAAGAGTGCATCAACCTGTCTGAACCACTGGGCAGCACAGGACAAGTGTGGAGTTGTGCATTCCTCCTGTGCAGTGGGCAGCTTTCCATCTGACTCACTGTGCAGAGCAGAGCAAACACTGGAGGAGATGTGCGTCTCTCGCTGACTGCACTGCAACCTCATAGGTACACAAACTAGTCCCTGGGGTCTCAACAAGGTAGAGATCCCCAGGCTGACTCACATCCATCCCAATCCGATCTGTGTCAGCATGACAGCTGTGAGCCAGCGACATAGCCCAGACCAGAAATGTCTGGACCATAGGCAGCCATTTCTAGAAGGGTTACCCCCGAGCAAGTATATCTTTAGAACTGAAATGTTTACACAAACAGTTCTTAATGCGAAGGAATCTGAAGTTTTGGAAATGGTGATATTTACTTGGATGGAATTTTGTTGTAGGCAGCAGTTGAAGGACCTGGGTTTTCCGCTGGAAAGATTTGAGTGGTGATGAGATGGCTGTCTTGTCTTCCTGTTGTCGGTGTCAGACAATCATGCTGTCACCCTGTGACTGGACTGTACATTTTTATTGTAATGATTTGTATTCACTTTGGGGTTACCAACCTCGTATGTTTCTGTCGTTTAGTTAGCTTATTGTTCCCGTGTTTGTTTAAACTTTTTTAATGATTATAATGATATTAATAATAATGATGAAAATAATCACAAGGTTTCTACTGTTGTGTTTGTCACTGTGACTTTGAAGCTGTGGGCAGAGGAAATGACCTGGAGACGAATGTGTAAGTGTGCAGTACAGACTAGACACACTGCCTCTCTGGGGTTTGTGGTCAATGGGTGTGCAATACAGACTGGACACAAGTCGCTCTTGGGCTCTGTGATCACACTGTCCGCTCTTTCTCACAACGTCCATGCTGTTTTTCTGACCACCAGGTCAGTCTGCCCAATCAGGCACCCTTCCCACTTCCTCCCTCTCCTTTCTGTTTCCATGTCCGTTCGGTCACCTCATCTCAACCACCACCCTCGTCTGGTTAATCACCAGATCCACTCTGTCACCCCGTCCACATCACAAACATCTCCTGCCCCACCAGCCTGTCTCCTCTGTCGCCTTGTCCACCCTCTCACCCTTCTCAGAGCTGTTTCATCTAACCTTCTGAAATGTTTACGTGAGTCATACATGATAAGGGGGGGAATGTAAATAGAAATTTCACACATTGTATAATAAATAAATAAGATGAAATCTAATTTTGAAATGAAAAGTCAATAAAAACCAGTCCCCTGCTTCTCCAGTCCCTGGCTCCCCATATTAGTTTATTAAAGCTCTATTAGGGGACCAGGTTAAAGAACCACAGCTAACAGATTTATCTCTGTTGCTCTTTGCAGAAGCCGCCTTATGAGGTTAGAGCAGCTGCAAGCAGACATTGGCCAGATGCTAACAAATGCTTGAGAATCAATCATGAAGGGTCTGTGTGAGACAGTGAGAGGGGACTATGAGAGGAAGCCACTACCTTGGCTCAAAACCCAGGCCCGGTGGTGGGGCCTTGAGCCAAGATGGCCGCCCGGCTATTGGAAATTGCTGCAGAATGAGACACAGCTGGGCTGATTGAGTCTGCTTGGGGAGAGAAAAGAGCGGTTAGGATAGGCTCTTTATGGAATCAGCCAAAGCTCTCAAGTGATCAGGAGGCTTGTAAGCCCTGCCAGGAGGAAAGAGGTTCAATCTGCAGGTTCCAGCTGGGAAGGAGAGAGAGTGAGGGCTCGGCTGCCCGGGCTTCCAGCTAGAAAATAATTTTCTACCTGGACTTGGAAGAAGAAGCAGTGAATGCTGTGCAGAGGCGCATCGCAGACCCTGGATGGGCGGGTGGCTCGAGTAGCATGCCGGCCAGACCCAATGGTATGGAAGTGAGGTGCTGAGGAAGATGAATGGCTAAGTCCAGTGTTGACAGGAGGCGTGGGATGGCTGACTGGAGGAAGGCTGAGTGGAGCAGTGCGGCATCGCTTGCCAAGTTACCAGTGTACCCTCTGACCACAGAAGGGAGAGCAGCAGTCTAGACAGCACAGGTTGAATCACTAGACCACCCTCTATCTTAAGAACTGCAGACAGACGGGCGGTCAGACAGGGGGAGAGAGGACACTGAGGACAGGAGAGGTAAGGAGAAAGAGAAGGAAACGGCAAACCGACCACTTCTGTGTCAGGGTCTCCAGGGTTTGTTATAGAGAAGGATCCCTGGCTCAACAGGATCAGCCAGGTGGAGAGAGAGGTACAAGAGAATGTGGAAGAGCTCGGGGAGTGTATCTGAGCGTAGCGAAGGGAGAGAGCTGGCCATCCTGCCCCGAGTCAGAACGGATGCTCCCTGGCCATGTGTGAAAGACGTTATGAGAAGACCAAAGGATCACGCGACTGTGACGGGTAGCAAGAGGCCTGCGTGTGTGAGGAGAGTGAAGGAAAGAAGGAGTCAGCTCATTCTTCCCCCGAAGAGGGCTAGCAAGAGAGCCAGGATCCTGGAGCTGCTGCTAGAGATAGCTGCTAGGGATCACGCCAACAGATCACGTGACACTCGCAGTGAGTAGCATAGGTTAGGGCTGCAGCCTGGTCGCAGGTCACTGCCTAATTTTGTTAATATACATTCGATTTTAAATATTATACATATAGGCTTAAAAGACAAAAATGTAGCGAAAGATCAAGATGAATTATTTTAAAATCCACATGTGCTCAGTTGCTTTTTTGGTCTGGCTCAGTTCAGGGTAACTGACTCGAGGGGAAAACTGCTTGAACCAATCCCGAGTTTGCCAGTTGCAGAGGGGCTCTTTTACAAACTACACTGCAGAAGAGGATAAACAAACAGTTATGTTTAATGATGTCATGCATGTTCCACCCTGAGCCTGAAATGCTCAGCGCCTGGCACTAGCTCTGCCGACTGGTAAAACCTGGAGTGGATCTGGATCGCTGCAGGGATCAGTGGGGGGGAGCCCCTGTGCTTCAGGAGCTAATGCTTCACCCTGCATACATGCTCCATTGTCAGGGCTGCCATGGCTGATGATGGGGAGCTGCCAACAGACTCAGAGCCGCGGGATCTGTAATGCGGTGCTACAGGCCTCAACTCGCCAGGCACACAGCCTGCAATTCTGGGGCCCTGACTGCACGGAAAATTAAACACACTGTACACATACCGTGTGCGCGTGTGGACACACACACACAGCACACAGTGACGTGCGCTGAAAACCTTGTAACGCACACACACACACACGCTGTACCAGATTCTCTGACACATGAACAGAACATGAAGAATCTAGATGTTTTGCCTTGCATATTGACACACACACACAGTAATGTATAATGCACACTCCGGCTCTCTCTCACACAGTAATATGAGTGTGTTGGTGCAAATAGACAATCACAGATTAAAATCCCTGTTTTAAAGTGCTTCAGTGGCAAGGCTGTGTGACAAGAAAGCAGGTCCAAAAACAACCCACAATTGTAAAATAATTATTGACAGACATGATGAATATTTACACCTCTCCCTCTCACACAGACACACTGTCTCTTTCTCTTGTACAGACACTCAGTCTCTGTGTCTGTCTCACCCTAACTGACAATACTGTCTGTGTCTCACACAGACACACATACTGTACATACACCTACTCTATCTATCACAACAGAGACACACAGTGTCTGTTTTGCACAACAACAGGCACACACTGCTCCTCTTTCACACACAGCCACAGGCAGACACGCACTCAATGTCTGATTCTCTTGTGGAATACTACTGAGCTGACACAAATACTGCTGCTGCCCTGTTCAGCTGTAGTCAAGTTGACTCCACTTTGGAAACTTGTGGAAAATTCCCACTGGCAAATTTGAGTCACCGGGGATCTGGTAGGAGGAATAAATAAAGCAACATGTACTATTAAAACATTTTCAGGCCCTGCACTGAGAATCCCCTGAGCCACACAGCTGGGAGATTGAGAAGGGACTGTTGTCTGGGCCAAGAATTAGTCAAGGAGCTTCTGTTGTCGGTTCTACAAAAGGTTTAAGAAACTTCCAGGAAATCTTCAATACAGTCATGACAAAATTTGTCATCTATCTCTGTTTTTCAAAGGTGGACTCATGTTCATTATTTCCTGTTCTCAGGTGATTCACTGGCCTGAAAACGGGTATCTCTCTCTGCAGGGGTTTGTGCACAACAGCCCTGCAGCACCAATCAGCTGACAAGAACAGCGCTGCCCCTCCCACTCTTCTCCGTCTCCACCAATTGCCTGCAGAGGACAGAAGGTTTGGAGGCGGGACTTCGTGATGTTACCGCTTCCTTCTGCATTTGCCAATCTGCAGGTCTAATCACATAGAGTTTGAATTTTTCATTTTTAAGTCTTAACTTTGTCAAATCAGGATCTTTAATCTTATGCTTAGGGTAATGAGAAGAGCAAATGTGAATTCGTCGTGTAGCCCATCACTTCTGTCACGGCGCAAGTTGCTGACGTTATGAAAGGGAATGATATAGTTGGAAGAGTCTGCTTTCCTAATGTGTCCTTCTGATTTTGAGTATCCTTTCCCAGGGGAGCAGAGGTTTGAGTCCTCAAAACAAAGGACTATTTTTAGGCTCTCTGCTCCAGGGCAATTGTTGGTTTTTGCTGAATTCCCAAATCCATATACTCAGTGATGTCACAGGGTTCTACAGACGGACATCTCTGCACTTGTGTAGCTTCAGGAGTCGCACTACTATGGGCACAATCAAAGGAGACTCGTGGGTTAAGGGTGTGATCCTGGTGGTCTCCGTTGGGGAATATCACGCCTGGAAGTCCTGGATGAGACCTTTGCATTTGGCACCTCCGTAGCTTAAGACCGCTTCCTGAAGGATCCTATGAGTCATCCCAGAGAGGAAATAACAAATAATTTGGAGATGTTTTCTGCTCTCCACCATTCTCTATCCCCTCTCTCCCCTCTCACTAATTAATGGCAATTACATGGCACCACAACATGTATAACCCAGCCTCTCACCAGCCCCAATTACCTGACAGCAAGCTGCAACAGCACCTTCAGCAGTGGCACCGCCCCCAGCGTGTCTGCGGTTTATGGATGAAGTCTGCAGGGAGACGATAGGCTCTCTTTGAACCAGACGACAAGAGGTGTTGGGGGTGGGGTTGACGCGAAAGGAAAGTCAAACTTCCAGTGCACAGCAATCCCATCCACCCCAGGCTTTACCAGCTGCGGGGCTCCGGTGCAAAAGTGCATCGGCGAAGGGGAAGAATAGAGGCATACAAAACTATTTTCAGCTTCACATCTGTCAGTGCAAGTCTGACACCACAAGATGACAAGCCGGAGATATGCAGCACCTGGGATTGGCGTTTGTCCAAGAGCCCCGCTGCTGCCAGATCCTGAACTGGATCACATCAGCTGTGCAGCGAGAGCCCTTTCAGATGTCCGATATGCATTTATTGTTGGATAGATACAACTTAGTGAAGAGAAGAGTAAAAAAAATCGATTCTAGAGCTCAAGAAAGTAAGGTGGAGGGATAGAGAGAAGGACCATAGCCACTCCAGTCTTTGTTAAAGACCGCTAAGGGAAAACCTGACTGACAATTTCCAAATCATAAAGATGAAGTTCAGTGAAGCAGAAAATGGGAACAAGACAGGAAAAAGGGCAGAAGCTAGTTTTCCACGGGCATGTAAAGTTCTGATTTGAACGGTGTGGACTAGGTCACCAAGATGTGCTGCGGGAGGAAGAGACGCTCTCTATGGCTATTGCTGACATGGGCTCACTCGGGGCAGAGGGCAATGAAATCCTCTCTCTGATCTGCGCTTCCAGCCTCACGGAGACGGCTGGGATCTCTCCCAGCTTTCCCGTCGCTTGTTTATGGTTCCAGAGCAACACATGGGCGACCGCGGCGTTAACACCTGAGTGGGAAGCAGGATCGGAGCAGCTTGTGTTGGAAGTTTAATGACAGTGCCCGCTTTCACTAACTCCTGCTGGTCCCACCAGACACACAGACACCTGTAATAAATCTCGTTTCCGCGGAGAAAGATGAAAGATGTTGCACGACATCAAGGCGTTTCATGCAAAAGGAGCGAACAATGGAGCACGAAGGCCGGTGTCTCTCTCCTGCACAGAGAACTCCTTTGTGTGTTTAATTAGGAGGTAATTACTGAGACACACAGAGCCTGGAGCCATAGAACTGCAGTGGGGGGAGAGAAGATTTTTCTTCAGAAGAGAGAGAGGGGGGTGTGTGGAGAGGGAGCTGAGGACGGAGAATTTAAGACTGCAAAGAGAGAGGGATGGAACGGAGAGACGCTGCCAGTTTTTGGAAAGAAGGGAGAGAAAAAGTGCGATGGACAGAGATGGGAGTGGGGACAGAGGATGGAGTGTTCGGCAACGGGGGAGAAGAGGGGGGAGTTAAAAACGGGTCTTCAGTGTCTAAGACGGTGAAAGAGAGCGACAGGGTAAGGTGGAGAAAATGGCAGCTTTTTAGTTCAAAGAGTGTTTGAATGTCAGACACCGAGGGCGGCGTAGTCTCCTCCCAGTTCGTATCCAAGACACAACAGCTGCCCCCCGAGTCGGAGTTATTCTTGTCATTGCTTTGCTCTGTCTCTTTGTTCACACCTGGTGCTGAGAGACGAGAGATTGCAATCACCTCCCTCACTCTCCCTCCGTCTGTGCTCTTAGGGTGTCAGAGGGCCAGCTCTTTGAAGGTTCTCCCTGGACCCCTATCTCCACGATCGGGAGAGGAGTGGGGGAGTGAAAGAGACCACACACCTGTCTCAGGTGAGAGGAGAGAGGGCCGTCCCCCAGTGGCTATGCCAGAATCCTCCCAGTGACTCATTGATGTATTGATCGGGGGTCAGCACTCACTGGTGGGTTACACCTTTGTCCTTTTCATGATGAGTTTGTCACTGATCCTCATGGGGTTGTGCGAACTCTGGAGAGGAATCCCTCCTTCCCTTCTTTCTCCTCACGTCCTTCTCGGTTTCTGCGGGGGGGTCTGGTGCAACTTTTGGGGAGGCAGGAGGGGAGACAGATTCTGGAGTAAACAGCCCCCAGCCCTCTCCTCTCTTGGCCTTGCATGGGGTATGGGGTGATGCGGCAGTGCAGGAAAATGCAGAAGACAGAGTACAGCATAGTGCTGTCTGTAGGCATTGCTGTGTGTGTCAAAGTGTGTGCACAGCAGTGTGTGGGTGATTCTGGTGTGTGTGTGTGCAAGCTGTGTGTGAAAGCCCTGTATTTTGTCCATCAGTCTGTGTATGAGCCGTGTGTGTAAACAGTGTAAACTATATACATCACTGTATGTAAGTGAGTGCAAGCTGTGTGTATAATTTATATGTGCAGGTGTAACGGAGCTTGTTCGGATACGGTGACGTCAGTGCCCTCCCTGCGCGTAGCAGGGACCTCCACTGCCTGGGCTGAGGGAGGTCTCCTTTAGCTCACCCGGCTGGTTCCCCGTTGCGTTACGCCGGAGACCCAGTTCGCGCCCCAGGTGCTGCAGGACGAAACGGGTGGCGGAGGGCACGAGCCCATGCCGAACCGCGACGGTCACGCAAGTCTTGTGTGTACACTTGTGTATTTGTGTTATATGTGTGCAGTATGTACACCAGTGTGTGTATAAACTGCGTATGTGTAAGCCATGTGTAGGTACACCAGTGTGTGTGTACACCAATGTCTTTGTGTTAGGACCAATGTCTTTTGCGTGTACCAGTATGTGTGTAAACTGTGTGTGTATTCCAGGGTGTGTGTGTAAACTGTGTGTATATACCAGTATATCTGTAAACTGTGTGTGTGTGCACTAGTTTGTGTGTACACTAGTGTGTGTACTCCAGTGTTTGTGTGTACAATAGTGTGTGTGAAGTGTGTGTGTGCACAAGTATGTGTGTGTAAACTGTGTGTACAGCAGTGTGTGTGTACACCCGTGTGTGTGAGTACTGTGTGTGTGTACACCAGTGTGTGTAAACTGTGTGTGTGTACACCAGTGTGTGTGCACCAGTCTGTGTGTACAGCAGTGTGTGTGTGTGTGTGTACCAGTGTAATGTGTAAACTGTGTGTGTGTACAGCAGTGTGTGTGCACCAGTGTGTGTGTACAGCAGTGTGTTTGTGTGTGCACCAGTGTGTGTGTAAACTGTGTGTGTACCAGTGTAATGTGTAAACTGTGTGTGTGTACAGCAGTGTGTGTGCACCAGTGTGTGTGTACAGTAGTGTGTGTGCGTGTACCAGTGTGTGTGTAAACTGTGTGTGTGTACAGCAATGTGTGTGTGCACCAGTCTGTGTGTACAGCAGTGTGTGTGTGTGTGTGCACCAGTGTGTGCGAGCGATGCATGCCGCCCCTCCCCTGGGGCAGTAATGTCTTCAGTGTGGCACGCTCAGGCTGACTCACCCTCTGGAACTCTGGAATAAATATTTGCTAAAAAAGGAAAGGTAGCAATTAAACTTCTAATGCTGCTTCTCACATACTGCCCCCTCCCTTTCCTGTCGCTGACATACTCTCCCTCTCCCCCGTCCTCCCCTGTCCACTCTCCCTCCATCGCCCTCTCCCTTCCGAGAGGGGCCGGGGGCAGCGGGGGCAGCCGGGGCACGAGGGGGGTGCAGAGAGGCTGAAATCCAGGGTGGGGAGTCCTCTGACTCATCCCCAGAAAGGAGGTATGCGTGTGTGCGAGAGGGAGAGGGAGAGGGGGGACGGGGAAAGTCTGGGAGTAAAAGAAATGAAAAGTTCGAATGAAAGTGGCCGCGCTGGACAAGGCCGCCCTGGCGTGTGCTGAGTCACCTGCAGACGCCCACTTCCTGCGTGATGTGAGTCTTCGTGGGGGAGGGGGGTCGGCCGTCAGTGTGTCAGTGTGTGTGTGTGGGGGGGGGTGGGCATGTTTTTGTAACCCCTCCATTGGGACACTGGCCTCCTCGGCTTCTCTGAACTGAGAGGGAGGCAGCTAACTAAGCCCATACTGCAGCGCAGTGCGTTAATTCAACACAGACCCGAGTGTTGGGAAGACGCCGCTCCATCTTGCTCCTCCAGGTGCCGGTAACTGAAGGATCCAAGAGTCACGCGAAGCCGTTTGTTGAGGGATCGCTTAGAGGTAGTGAAGGGGTTTGTTGCAGACCCCTCTCCTCAGGTTCCACTGTGTTCCCCCAGGGGTCCTCGTATCACTGTTGCAAAGCCCGAGACTGACTGCGTGTGTGGCATTGCTTTGCTCATTGCTTGGATACAGCCTTCCCACCTAGAGCTGTGCTAGTGGCACACTGGCCTAAAATAGGAGTCGGTGAGCCTGAGTCATGTCGTTTTTTCCGAAAGCGACTGGGATGCCTTGAGTGGTGGCGCACAGCTGGCCACGAGCCGGTTAGCTTGGCAGGGGTGCCCTTGGCTCACCATGCGCCAGCGCCCCCCTGTGGCTGGCGGGGGCATCTACCGAGCTGACTGTCTGGCAGAGAGAGCTGCCTCTGTCCTCCATCTGACGGCCTTAGCAGTGCTGTGGGTGACATGGGGCTCACAAGGTGACAAAGCAGGGGACTGTGCAGTACGAGAGCTGGAAATGAAAGATTGTACGTTCCACAGTGGGGCGTAACATTCTATGGCCTTGTTCTCACAGACTCCTAGAGCAGAAAAACAACAGAAACGAAACCCACCCTGAAACTGGGTTCGCACTGTCCCCCTTCTCTCAGTGACCGACTTGTTTTCGTGTGATCTTCTCTATTCTCATGCAGGTTTTGACTTCACAGCTCTCTCCACCCTTCTGCACTTTGCACTTCCTGAGTGGCCTCTCCTGCCGCCTCCCCTCTCCCAGCTTCGGCTCTTCTGTGCTCTTTAATCTTTGCTGTCTGCCCTGTCTTTCTCACACCTGAAGAAACCTTCGCAGCCGAAACGTTGTGTTTTCTCTCTTCTCTTTTCAGCCTGGAATAAACCTTTACTTTTTCCCTTGCAGACTACGCATGAGGACACAGCCCCCCACCTGAACTACTATAGACTCTTACTATTTATTTTGCAACGTGTGGTAGAACGTGTGGTATTGCCTGTCTTTCTGGGTCGTCTGTTGTATTGTGCATGTCCTGAGAGTAAGAATTCCAATGTACATGTACATACGGCAGGAAACGCCACTCTTCTGCAAGAGGGATATTGTTACTGTAGAAGAGGTGCCTGGGGAAAGACGTGAATGGCCCATCAGAGAAAGTGAGTCTCTTTAGCTTTGAACAGAGAGGATTAAATGGTGAAGGGTTTGGGTTTACAAAATCCTTAAAGGTTATTGACCTTATTAAAGTCAATCAAGAGGATGTTTTAAAGAGCAACAATACAAGGAACCAGGGATGCAAGTGGGCATTATGTTTAGGAGCATTCAAGACAGAAGACGGGAGACACTTCTTTACACAGAGACTGGTATGGGTATGGAACTAAATGCCTAGAGCCTCCTTCAAGAAGTTGTTTTTGGGATCTTAGCTCATTAACCTACTAGCAAATGAGCAAGACAGGCTGAAAGGCATCTCTTGTTTGTAAATATTATACTTTCATTCTAGAGGTACAGGAAAAGAAATGGCATAGAGAGCCCTTAGGAGACTGGAGAGTGTGCTGGAGAGGCTGCCCCGGAGAAGGCAGAGCAGTCCTGAGTGCCAGGGCCAGCTGAAAGGTTCAGGAGCCATCTGACGCTCTGAACAGACAGACAGTAGGCAGGAGAGACAGAGAGCTGCCGAGGGAAAAGGTCACAGACGGAGAAATGAAAGGGGGAGAGACTAAGATAACAAATAAAGAGAATGGTCAGTCTTAGAAAAGAGAGTGAGAGAGCCAGAGAGCTTGGGAGCCAGCGAGAGAGAGATGAAGTCAGCGTTTTCAGCACTGACAGCAGGTTTACAGGAAGGCCTGTCTGGAAGCACAACAGTCAGAGGAAGTGGTCCAGCACAACATCCTGTCTGTGTTTGTGTAATACGGACAGCATCGACTTTGTGTGGAGAAAAGATTATTGGATCTCTGTCTGCACTGTGTGTGGCAGTATTGTAGTTAAGCAGTGTTGACTGTGTGTGAACGTAGTAGTGTTGTCTGTGTGTGAGTGGATCAGTGTTGTCTGTGTGTGTGAGTGGATCAGTGTTGAACACTTTCTACTGTTCACTCTCTAGCATCTGCTTTATGTGATTTGATCTTAAAGGAAAAACATGAATAATTATAGCAACCAAAAGTATTGTAACGTGGTTGTGTCAGTGTACTTGTCTCTACATGGACTGTAAGAGTCTAGAGCCCTGTGACTGGGCTGTGTCAGTGTGCTGAACTCCACAGGGACTGTAAGAGTCTAGAGCCCTGTGACTGGGCTGTGTCAGTGTACTGGACTCCACAGGGACTGTAAGAGTCTAGAGCCCTGTGACTGGGCTGTGTCAGTGTCCTGTACTCTATATGGACTCCAAGAGACTAGAGTACTGGACTTTACTGTATGGTAGAAATCTAGAGCTCTGTTACTGGCCTGTGTCAGTGTATTGTTCTCCACATTGATAATACGCAGATAGTCCTGTGACTGGGCTGGTTTGTTTTAGCTCCTGTTTGTTCATGGTGTTGTATCTATGAAGTATTAATCTGTGTATGGTCTGCCCTTAGTGTTTTTCCAGGACTGTATATACTGTGTGTGGTCTGTGATGTCTGGTTGTGTTGTGGTGATGAGGATACAAAAAGGGGGAAAGAGACAAAGAGGAAGATTAAAAATTGCTACTGTCATGTTTCTGTTTATAAAGGAAAACTGGTTTCCTTTCACAAACCTCCTTTCCCTCCTTCTCTCCCTCTTTATCTCTGTCTTTCTCCCTCTCCCACTCTCTGTGTGTTTCCATTTCTGCCACCCACCAGATTCCTCTGTCTGTCCTCTCCTCCTCTCATTCCCCTCTTCGCTTTCCCTCCATCTTCCTCCTCTCTTCTCTGCCTCCTGTCTCTCCCCGTTGCTCGGTCACTCAAATGCCAGACCCCCCCCCCCCCCTCCCCTCTCTATTTTCTTGAATTTCTCATTTCCTGTTTTGGGTGTGTGTCCAATCCCTTGTTCGTCTGCCCAATACACATCAAACGCTCATCAGTCCGAGGGAGAGGGTAGAATGCATGAAAAAGAAAGAGGGGGTGGAGGAATGAGAGATGGAGGAAGAGGGAGAGAGAAAGAGAAAAGAGAAAGAGGGAGAGAAAGGTTGCAGACGATAGGCGCCCCATTTGGCCCATCTTACTTGTTTGGTTGCTAGCAGCTTATCAAACTGCAAATCTCATCCAGCTGTTTCTTGAAAGTTCGCAGGGAGCATTCTTTCACAACATGGCTGGCTAATTTGTTCCAGATACCCGCTAGAAGCTAAACAAGGATGGGTCTAACCAGGACTGGGATGGGGGACCTGTAGGGGAAAACTGTGTTGCTGCTGCGTGTGGTGTTAGTGGACCAGTAGGTGGTGATATTTCCCTCTTTCCCAGAATCTCCCAGCTGAAGCCACTGTAATGGCTGGGTGCACTGGACTATGCTGAATAAGGCTTTGTCCTTCAGGTGAGATGTTAAACCAAGGTCCTGGCTGCTTGATCTTAAAAGATCCCCTGACACTGTAAGAGTAGAGGTGTCATTCCCAGTGTCCTGGCTAAAGTCCACTCTTGACACGAGTAATGTCAACTGGTGAAGCAGTTCCTCAAGCCTCCCTCTGATCGGCTGTATAGTGGGTCTGGTGGTGCAGAACGGCCGCTCTGTCTCACTCTGCCTCAGCAATACATGACTGGTGAATTTGTCGGGGTAAAAAAACACTACAGAAATGCAGTTCATTCATTTGAGCAATTACTCTGTTGAAAGAATCCACTTCAATCCGCTTGCTTCATATTTCAAGATGGTGAACTTGTAGGCCAGTCCCTGGGGTGGACCTGTTCACAACCT